AGTGCTTCTGTGATTTTTGTGGTTCGGCGTTATAATCAGTTCATTCTTCGATAGTAAAGTGCTGGGCAGTTACTGACCAACAAATGCTCTGATGAAGAAGAGTTTGTACTTTGTAGCATTAAAAAATTGAGAACGGATAAATTGTACTTGTCGGCCCGATGGATACGAAATCTTGTGGCACGTCTATTCTTCACTAAAGTTATTAGAATTGGGCCACAGATTTACATGAATCTTCCTCCATCTTCTCTGTTAATTACGGCTTTTTCAAATTGAGTTTGTAATTTTCAAGTTGAGCTTTTATCTTCTTCAGCAAATAGCATCCAATTTAAGGTACTTAAGTTTTGGCCTTTACTCATTTGACTTTATGTTATGACCTTCTGTCTGATACGTTGTCGGGAAAATGGGGCCTCGCAAGTTCCATTTCATACAAGTTGGTGTAAATTAATAATTTGCTTTCAACTTACATCAAATTATCTTTAATTTACACTAAATGATAATAATTAACTTATACCAAACGGTACTTAATTTACACCAAATAATAACAAATCAACATACATTGAATTTAACTTATTTACATTAAACTTGACCTGATTTATACGAAAATCTTATTAATTTATACCAGAGCTCAATTTGTGTGAAATTGTACGAAACATAAATTGCGAATCCCCAGATCCTGTTGTAGGATATTCCTCAAGATGATTGCCTTGAGTTTTTTCTTGTTAATTTTTAGTGTTTTTTAATAGCTGTTTTTAAAATGTACGTGATGTGTTTTTAAGGTGTATTTTGGATAGATAATCAGTGAGCCCGTGCTATCTCCTTTGACAGTGATGCGAACGGTCTCATCTGCATTAGACGAAAGAAGAAAAATTAGATACATCCAACTTTATCTGTATCTCATATCGACGATCCTTTTTTTCATGGACTTATCACAAAAGGAGTTGACAGGAACAATTTTAGATTGTTTGGCCTACATGCCTTCCTTAAGAACAATGTAAGTATGTTTTTTTAAATCTTTATACATAAAAATCTTAATTAATCAATCAAAACTCAATCAGAGGTTAAAACAACCTCAAAATACATCCCAACTCCCATGGCATTCAACAAGAACTGCCTAGCTAATAGGCATACATACACAAACAACAAAGTAACAAAAAAGCTAGATACCTATAATTAGTTAATTAACCAACTATCTTTAAAGTAGTTGGCCACTAGGGTGCAGGTTAAGGGATCGAATCCCTTAACTTGCATTCATTTTCAGGATTTTCAGAAATTTTACAAGTGGGTGCAAAGGCACTCGTTTGGTCCGATGATAGTTTAGTCCCTTCCAGGTTCTCCCTTGACCCATTTAGTCATTTTCAGGATTTTCAGAAATTTTACAAGCGGGTGCAAAGGCACTCGTTTGGTCCGATGATAGTTTAGTCCCTTCCAGGTTCTCCCTTGACCCATTTAGGCCCACCCTCTCCCTCCCAATATAGAGTAGGAGTAAATATAGAATAGAAACTATTGTGTCAATAGAAAAAAAAAATATGATTAGTTAATAACACACTGCAAAATAAAAAAAAAAAAATAGAGGTTCTAAAAGTTCCCTAGGGTTCTATGTATTTGAATTCAGTTGTTAAACTTTTAATCATCATCATCAGCACCATTAGAAGACGGACGTCAATCTTTAGATTGAAATGGCATGATTAAACACCAATTTCTCAATGTTAATGAGGCTGATATCCTAGACATAGTCCTTACATGTTCATGATTATCTAGAATAATGTGCTTCTCAAAATGTGTAACTTATGATCAGCCAGTGAGCATTTAATCATAAATCGGTTTATAGGCGCTTATGGCAAGAAATAGAAGTTTATGTACAAAATTGTTATCAACTAAGCTGATGCTGCAAACTGTTGAAAACAGTACTACTTAATAGATTGACTTTTTAATTTACAACTGTTTTAATTTACTTTTTTTTTTTTTTTTGTGTCCTCCCACCTCTTTCCATACCCAATTGTTAGGTTTAGAATACAAACTCTGAACTTGTTAATGTATTTAAACGGTCGGAACATGTAATACATATATGGCTGTTGATGATATAAGTAAAACCGATTCAGGTCTGATCCTTGTATACTGGGCTATGGCCTATCTTGGATCTGGAAATATGGATCGGATCTGGACTTGGAACCGGTGGTCCATTGATAGCCTTATGCCCATGTCTGCAAAAATCCTATTCATTCGTACACAGAGTCCCTGATTTCTTCGATCAAAAGCCACGGGGCCCCGTGCTTTAAGATGAATAGGCCGCCATGGATCTTCACTGGCAAATTGTTTTCCTTGTTTCTTGAAAAAAATTGCTTGGAGTATAATAAAGTTTAATTTCGTGAAAAGTTTGTTTAGGATTTGATTATAGACCGTTGATAATATTTTACTATAAATTAATATTTCGATTTAATCATATATGAATTTGAGACATAGATGAAAAGTAAGGACTCTTGTGATTTCTTAAAAATTTCGTTTACGTTGTATTTGTGATTCATACTATTGGTCATGTAATTACTGTCCTTTGTAGAATTTACAATTTATAAGAACTTAATCATGAATATGTTCCAAAAAAATCACACTACTGAAGCACAACCTGAATTATATATAAACAAGCTATAAAAGTGTATTTAAAATGGTAGTAGATTAATTGAACAAAACTACAAAACTACTGCACTATTTAAAATGGTTGTTTTTGACAAATTTCAATCCATGATCATTAATTAGCTCAATCAACCATAAGAATCCCCAAATTGACTTCACTTCTAATAACTTTAGACATGTTATTTTTTTAGTTGTTGTCAATCATTTCTCGAGATGTGATGTCCCTTGGATTTGTCCACCTCGTGTTAAGAATGCTTGGTTGTCTTCCGGTAGGAAATTTTGCTTTTGCTTGGTTGTCATGTCCCTTTACTATTGCTTCCCTTTCTGCCAAGACGCCTTCGAGTTCTAGTCGTGATTGTGCTTGGTTGTATTGTAATGGGAAATTTTGGATAACAAATCACCTCACAGGATACCACTAATCACTTGACCTGAAAATTGGAGGTTTTGCCATTTAAGTCGATTTTCTGGGTTTAACTCCCCATGTCTAGAGACACCTTTTTTGTGATAATTTCCTTTTGATTAATCCATACATAATATTGAACGTTCCTTTTGTTAATCGATTGTCGAAACTTCTAATTTGCTAATATTTGCTGGTTTTTTCCAATATCTGCAGACAAAATATGATCACTTTTATTTTTTTTATATGATAATAGTCATACCGTGATCATCATTTAGTTGGGAAAGAATATGCTGAATATTACAAAGGAGAAAGTAGAAATGAAAAATTTCGAATTCGAGACCTCTTACTTTATTAAAAAAAAAAAAACTATGATCATTATTTAGAACGGCAATGTCAACATCCTTTGTTGTATCCGGTAATTGCTGCTTCGTTTCAAGCAAAACTATCAGTATCTGCCGTTTGTAATTTTATGATATCGTAATTGTAAAGAAATTTCATTCTTCTCTTTCCAATTGTCCATGGATTTTCTATGGAAGCAGTGGATCCGGCGACTTTTCTATCAGGGTTCCGTAGACGATGGTGTATCTTAGACCGCAGAGTCTCCATTCAATCAGGAACCAGTGGGCCCCATGCTTTTAGCTGGATGGGCCTGGATTTTCTCAGCCGGGGCCCAGCAAAAGTTGTAAATGGACCTACCGTAGATCCGACCGCGCAAGAAATTTTTAATCTTCTTGGGTCTCTCGAGTTGACTCCAGAACAAGTCAACAAGTCAACGGACGATCGGTATACTCTGGACCTGAGGTCCGAAACAGCAAAACAATATGAAATTAAACATATGCTGGCATAAAATATTTCCAAACAAGATTTAAATGAGTTTTTTTTTCACTTTAATTTATCAGAATTTATTAATAATTGCGGTCTATTTTTAACTATTTCATTAAATCTAGCTGTCGAAAGAAAAAAAAGTTTGGAATATGCTGCAGCTTAATACATGAAAATTTTGTTTGGGATTGATTGCACCTTTACTAAATTAAGTTTTACTAGAGTTGTAAGTTGTTGACTAACTAAGGTTTTCTAGAATTTATAACTTCTGAGAAATTATACTTTCTTCTCGCTATTAGGTTCAGTCTTAAGTCTAGCAATTAGGGGTGGGAAGGGTGTTGACAGGAGTAGAAGGTATAAAAAAAAGCTATAGTCATGACTTTGTCCCAAAAAAAATCAAATTGCTGAATCTCAATTTGAACGATATATTTACAATTTATTGCTAAGATGTATTCGGGTATTAAATTAATTGAATGAAAGAATCGTTCTGTTTGAAATGGTTTTTTTTTTAGAGAATTTTTAAAAACGTTTAGTATAGCCACATTATTGGAAGAGTGTATGTATGTAAGATAAGAAATTATTAAAGGACGTAATTAAAAGGTTTTCATAAATGATCCTTCCAAACAAAAACAGTTTTCCATTTGCTTTAACTTATTAGTTTAACCTGCGAATTTCCTCTCAGATAAATGATGAACAAGCTTAAGTTGGACAAAATTTTCTTCTAGGACATGAACATGGTCAAGGGATCTCCTTTTCTGCCTCAGCTTGTTCAAACTTAAAAACTGGTCATGACAGACTCAAATTCGTATACAAAAAGCTATTCAACGATTAGAGGAAGAATATTTTGGTAGTAGTACTCAAAGGTTGTATTCAGAAACTCTTGCGGAATTGCTTCTCCTGAAATGTTTCCAAATTCCAGGTTTAAATAAGACAAGAAATTGCGGTCCAGATATTTGATGCAAACCAAAACACATGATGGAAAACGTTTGATTTACGTTTATAGAAAAACAACCCTGTATTGACCGTAACATAGGAGTAGAACAAGTCGAGGGTTAGGTTTTACAACACATATTTAGATTTTCTTTTTTTTTCCCCCTTACCAGAGCATAATATAATGGGAACTTACAACTATAATACAATTGGCTACAGGTTCGGCATGTTCACGAGTTCACAAAACGTCGCCATGTTTTTCTCGTATGCAAGTCCATGCTGCAGGAGAAGGCAAAAGGCCGCTGATTTCCATGAATGGTCGCAATTTATCTGAAAAAGAGCTTAAGTTTGAGGAACATGCACGATGGGAACTTATACCAGGCAGATCCAGTAAGTCCTTTGATATATATATACATATATATATATATATATATATTCTTAGCAGCTATCCTTCATCTCCAAGCATTGTCAGGCACTATTCTTAGCGACATCTAAATAATTTATTGTACGTCTATTTAGTGATTCCACTATATGCCATTTCGTTTCCGCTGAGATACTTCTGTCAAGAATTTTAGGCCTTTGTACGTTAATTTTGGTCTTGCACTGTAAGTTCGGAGAACTACACCGACGGTACACACACAGGCACAGACAGATATATTCAAGAGCTCGTTTGGATGGGTGTTTTTGAGAATATTTTTTATAGAACTTTAACTCTAGATATGTGTTTTATAAAACCATTTGATATGGTGCTTTAAAAATGTTTTCAAGTGTTTTTGGGAATGATTTTAAAACTGATGATTAGCGCCATCCTCTTCTCACCTCTACCCTGCCCTCCGATCTCCACTCTTTCTCTCCCCCCGCTTCTTTTCTCCACCTCTGGCCACCCTCGCATTCCATCCCCTCACCCCTCCTATTTTCCACCCTTCCTTGTCACCTCTAAAAAAAAAAACCATCAAATCACCCCTACCAGATTGCATAGATCTTTCATGTGGCCATATCATAAAGGGACGAGGGCGCAAGGGAAAGAGGGAGTGTGGTACTTATATTTAGAGATTTAATTAAACCCGAATTATGAGTAGCAAAGAATGATTGCAACATTCATTTTCTGAGGGCTTGGGGACAAAGCCATTAAGGGTTTGTTTCGATGTGTTTCAACTTGTAAAAAAGTATTTGATTGTTCATAAACATATTCTCTAACCACCTTTTGATTTCACATATATCATATCACAAAAATGTTACGGTATTTCAACAAATCTCCTATCCAAACACACTCATTGTTTCTAATTTCGGTTGAATAGATAAGTCCAAATGCACAGATTTGTCGATGACTTGATTGATTTTTGTCTGCAGGTTTCATCAGTATCGACTGTGGCATAGAAAATGGTAACGATTATACTGACAGCGAAACTGGAATTAGTTATACATCAGATGCGCAATATGTTGAAAGCGGAGTAAACATGAAAATATCTGATTTATTCTTGTCTCAAACTCAAAATTATCAAAAGCTGCTGTCAACTGTTAGAAGTTTTCCTGAAGGAAACAGCAGTTGCTACACGCTAAAACCAACAGCAACTGGCGGAGGCAACAAGTACTTGATTAGAGCATTCTTCATGTATGGAAATTATGATTTGAAAAGTCAACCACCACTTTTCAAACTCTATCTTAATGCAAATGAGTGGGATGAAGTAAAACTGGACAATGCATCTCAGATTCTGATCAAAGAAGTCATACATAATCCTCCTACAGATTATATACACGTCTGTCTTGTCAATGTTGGCTCCGGAACACCTATTATTTCAGCACTTGAGATAAGAGAGTTGAGCAACACCATCTATGATACTATGTATAATGATTCGCTAATCCTCTACAGAAGGTTAGATGAAGGTGCAAGTTCAACGATTAGCAACAAATTCCAGAGGTAAATAAGGTCTATATATGAGTAAGAATATTATTAATTATTTGAATATTGTTCTTTGCATTTTAGACGGAATTAATTTGGTTTTCCAATTCTTCATTTTCAGGACTGCTTGTCTATTATTATTTTTTTCTGTCGTTTGGAATCTTCAGTGTTCAAAACCACACTAAGCTCAGGTGCCTGTTTATTCAAGGGCAAAAAATAGTCGAATCTTTCTCATTATCTTTTAATCCTGGATACCTCTTCAATTTTCTTTTTTCGAATTGGGGATTTTAAGGCTATTGCACAAGGTTCAATTACATACGAAGTTAACTTTAAGTTGAAACCCAGACCCCTCAAATCACTCCTAAATCCCCCTCATTTTTTTTCCCAATAACAAGACATGAGCAAAACAAGATAACTTTCCCATTAACGTGAAAAAATAGATTCCTAGTATTTACTACAAGAGGCGCCTAGTTTAGTTGTTAAACAGTGTTTTGAATTTCAGATAGAATTGGCTGATTCAATTGATTGAACCATGAACAGTCAATTGCCCCGTCAAAGCCTTCTCAATGAGCTGGTCAAACTTAGTTAAAAACTGGATTTGACCTGAGAAGATCAGGAAAAGATCTGAAAAATTGGTTTCTTCAAACTTAGTTAAAATTGATTAACTTTCCTTCTTGTTTTCTAATTTTACATTTTTTTTTGTTGAAGCTTTCCTTAATTATTCTTGACTCGAGTTTGATACTCAAAATTTTTGTGGCATTTAGGTTTGACATTTGAATAATTTGGACAACTAATTCTTTCACGAACTTTTTCGAGTTACAATCTTAGTTTCTAAATTTTGTTAATTAAGTCTTATGAATTTAGTAGTAAGATGTTATACTTTTGTTGTGCATGAATTCCTAAAATTTCTTTCAGGTACCGGGATGATTTCTATGATCGTATATGGGAAGTCCCTGACTACCGGCCTGATTGGGAACCAATTAACACAACTTCTTACATTACTGAAGAATATCTTGACAACGCCTATAAACCTTCACCAATCGTCATGAGCACTGCAGTCACGCCTGCGCATGGAAGTTCGTTGGTGCTGTCTCAAAATGTTGATCGAAACCAACAATTCTACTTGTACATGCATTTCCTCGAGGTGGAAGATCTCCCATCGACTCAAATCAGGAAGTTTGCCATATATGTGAACAATAAAATCTGGTCCGACCCTGTTGTTCCAGACAGTGGTCCAGATACCATCTACAGCACATACTCTCGGGGTGGTGCTGATACCCTACTGTTCTCAATCATTATGACAAATGATTCTACACTTCCTCCAATTCTCAATGCCGTAGAGTTCTATATCCGCAAGAAATTCCCTATCTTGCCTACAAATCAAAGTGACGGTACGCTTAAATCTAAAGCCGTATTTTTTATTTGATACTTCATACTCAATGACACAAATTATTGGGAGATCTTTGCTAATTACAACAGTTCGTTCAATTATACTTAACCAAAAAAAACAATTGAAAATATGAAAAAGTAATCATTAAAATGAAGAATTTCGTAGGGTTTCTATTGAATGCTTTACAGCCCTGAATTATATACATTAATTTTGTTCTTGGTTGATTTCAGGATTGTCCCTTTCTCATAGCGATTTATCGTGTATAATTTTGTGTAATTTTATATAAAATCAAGATACAGATTCATCGGCGTTGTGACCTTTTATACGCTATCTTCTTTCTTTCTTTTTCTTTTTTTTTTGCATGATGTGTACATACGATGAATCCTTCTATAGGAGCTGTAAAATTTTTTTCCCTCTAACTTTTTTTTTCCCCGACAAACTCTAGTTGACGCCATGATCAGCATTAGGTCAACGTATGGTGTAAAGAAAAATTGGCAAGGAGATCCATGTGTACCCGAGGAACTTAGGTGGGATGGACTAGACTGCAGCACCAATGATCAGGGTTTATACAGAATCATTTCAATGTCAGCTTCTGTTTCTACAACAAACTTCATTTTTTGTAATTGAATGTGAAGATGACTGCGTCCTTTTCTGCTATTTAACCATGTTGACGGAACTGAATTAAAGCAGGAACCTATCCTTCAGTGGGTTAGCCGATGAAATCACATTCTCATTGTCTAAACTTGATTCACTACAAAGCTTGTAAGTATATCTACTGCCATATGTCATATTTCATACATTTATTTATTTTTTTAAAATAAAAATGGCCAATTGCTTTTGCCACTTTTCTGAAACAATAATTGTGGGCATTTTCTCTTTTCGTCAAATTTCATACCGTTGTAAGTAAATTGTGAACTGCTAGAAAGAGTATATTGGAGAAATTTTTATTTTTTTAAAGTATTGGAGAAAGTTCTTGTTCCATCAAGACAATTATTTCGGAAGTGCAAAAGAAGATTCCAGTCAGGAAAAAAAAAAGTTAAAAGGTCTAGATTGGAGTTAACCTGATTATAAGCTAACTACTAGAAATGGTACTAGTACAACTACTATTGGAGATTTGGAGTCACAAATACAAATAATTGTTTCGTTTATGCAATGAATTCTTTTGCAAATAATCATGTAAGTTATACCTATTTCCTATGTTAAACAAGGGTTCCCAGTTGGCTGCAGGAAGAAAACTTCTTATATTTGCATTCTAGAGTTGGACATTTTATGCATCTGAATTAGACTACAGAAGAAAAATTAGGTATATCGTACTTCTATCTCATATCGACAATCATTATTCAGGGACATGTCTCACAATGACTTGACAGGAACAATTCCAGATTTTTTGGCCTACATGCCTTCCTTAAGAACAATGTAAGTTCCTACACGATTTGCCTCGAGAAAAAATTGTAGTTTTGATCCCTAATGTTTGGCCCGAATGTTTAGTTCAAAATAAATCTGATCCCCAAAATTTGTGATTTTAGTTAGATTTAGGACAATTATCAGAAATAGAATAACGACTAACGGTCATCATCAAATTGTTATTAATCAACAACTTTGACTTTGCACTTTTGGTCTCAAATATTTTGACTTTGAATCATCATATTTTCCTAAATTTTAAATAGTGATATTAAGAGTTTTAGCATGAGTTGTAATTAAACTTCTTTTTCTTCTTTTTATTTTTATTTTTATTTCATTTATTCATGCTAATAATATATCATATGTTTCTTTTCTTTTGCATAGTTAGTCTTAAATTTGGTATAATATATATATTATTATTTCTCAGTATTAATAATTAATTGATAATGAGTTTTATTATTTTTATTTCTAATGATAATTACAAACTTAATTAAATATCCCTTTCAAATATAAGGAATGTGCTGATCTTTTTTTTAGGCCATTTAATAGGTTATCAGTTGAATTTAAAATAAAGTAGGCATCTCATATATATTATATTAAACATTAAATGATTATCACAATATATAAATATAAATTCTTTAAAACTACAATATTAGAACGTTAAATTTTAATTGGAAGGATAGACAACAAAAGATGAAATATAGTTTTCTTAAGGTAAGTACCAATGTGAAGTAATTTTTTAAATTCTTTAAAAAAATCTTTTATTTTTTGTTGTCTTTCCTACCAATTAAAATTTAACATTCCAATATTGTAGTTTTAAAGCATTTATTTTAATATCTATGCACCTTAATAATCATGTAGTTGTTCATATAATGTGTATAAAATGGCAACTTAATTTCAAACTCAATTGATAATCTATTAAAATGCCAAAAAAAGATCAACTTAGTTTACAAAAAAGTATATAGTCTTTATATTTTGAAGGGATATTTAATTAAGTTTTTAATTATCATTAGAAATTCAATTAATTATTAATAATGAAATAATATACATATATTATACCAACTTTAAGACTATGCAAAAGAAAAATATATAATATATTATTAGCATAAATAAATAAAAAAATTAAAAAAAGAAGAAAAAGAAGCTTTATGTTTTAAATTGTCATTATTTAAACTTTATGGTTCAAAAATATATTTTAGGTTACTCTGTGTAAAAGAATAAATTTCAATTTCTTCTGTAGAGAAGGATGGGGGACAGGAAAGGAAGAAACAGAAGTTGTTAAGGTGTGTTTTTCTCTTATCTTGCAGTAACTTATCTGGAAACAAGCTGGAAGGCTCAGTTCCTGCACTTCTTCTTGATAAAATGAACAACGGGGCATTGGCACTCAGGTATTTTAAATTCTAGACCATGACCCTTTTTCTTTTTGTTCTATTCCAGAGGATGACTTATTTAACTACACATTGGTTGAATAGAAGGAAAGTTATATGGGAAAGTGAGATAAAGAAAAGTGAAAATGAGTTTCCTATATAAGTTTGGTTACGAAGAAAAATATTGAGAGAATATAAGAAGTTAATGACAGTTAATAGCAGTTATTAAAACTTTCGTGAGTTATTTTCCTGAAAGCCCTGCAAATTTTGTAGGACACAAAGTGCAGGAAAATGCAAGAAAAAGTTTCAATATTCCTGCTATGAAGAAAAAAATAACTAACTTTCATTCATTTCTTCACACTTTTCCGATAAACAAACACTATATTTCACTTTTATTTGAGACATAGCATCCCATAATGTTTTTAGATTGTATCAATGAGTCAGATTTGCCAATAGATCGATCTAATTAAATTCAAGTGGGAGGAAATTGGAATTGTATACCCAGATAATGCCAGAAAGAGACAAAAATTACATGTATGTAATTTTTGCTCATTTGTTTTTTGGTTAAAATGTAATTTTTGTTCTTTTTCTTTTCAGTTAAAAAATTTTTTTTTTTTGTTCCTTTTGTGCAAGTTTGGATGGAAACCCGGATCTTTGTTTATCAGGCCCTTGCAAGAAGAAGAAGTCTCATAAGCAGAGACTGATCGTTAGCATCGTTTTACCGACCATATCATGTCTTCTTGGCATAGTAATCGGGGTAGCGATTTTCAAGCACAGAATAAAAGCCGCCTCAACGAAGGGTACTCCTTGATATCTCAACTTTTCAAAATTGCACTACTACTCCTTTCAAAAGCATAATATTTTTGTTTGACATACAATTTTATAAAATTCGAGGGTTCAAAACATAGCCAATTGCAATGACAGGAGTGATTCGAGATCTTTGTTAACTTAAACATCGGAACACTGATGTAGTACAAGAAATGCCCATGAGTCTATGAGGAATTTGGTTGTAGGGGTATGAAATTGAAATGGGATGGTTATTTTATCAATTATTGTGTTTGGAAAGACAAAAGAGGCCTTTCTACCCTCTGGTCCAATTGTTGAAAACGTATCAATCTTTTTTTGGGTCGCTGCAATAAGTCCTAATGTACTAAATTTTGAGTTAGAGCGCCCTTAGGCCAAAAAAGTTCATTAGAACACCTTCTTGATTTATTGCAAAGCAGGAATTTGTGCCTAACCTACAGCCAAAAAAGTAACTTCAACGGATGTTTACAAAAAAAGGACCGGGGAGGGGGGGGGGTTGCTGTAAGAGAATAATAGAAAGATTTTAATAATTTGCAATTTTTTTATACACATGAAGTAACTTTGTTTATTGTAATTTAAATTGTTACATATACTGCTAGAACCTAAATATTCATTCATGTTGGAAACTAATTAATATTCATTCATGAGAAAATGAATTATTGCATATCTTGTATTTATTAAAGGGATAATTTCAGAAACCTCCCTTGAGGTTTCTTGCTATTTCACTTAGTCCCCTTGGTGTTTTAAAAATTACACTTACCTCCTTTGATTTCACACTTTGGTAACCAAACTTTAAAATAGAGTAAAAAGTTTAATGAATACTCTAAAATGCCCTTATCTTGCAAAGTTCAATTTGTTCTTCTAAACAAAAAGAGTATCAAGTTTTCATGCTAATATTTGTTATTTAATAATCAACTATAACAATAAATCTTTTGCTATAATAGGGTATATTTCATAGTGTTTTACTGGGAATATAAATTCTTTTTAAGATAGAGAGTGCTTTTTTGTTTCTTTTAAAGTTTATGGATATTTTTTAAATGAAAATTTATGGACCAGTTTAATGGTGGAACTATCATAATTTGGTAGTGATTTTGGGCCATTTGTTTTTAATCATTGTTGACTTACCCTTGATTTTGCTACCAAAAAAATTGGAGAATGTTAAAAGTCATCAAAAAAATATTACTAGTTTAACATAATTTGAATAGATATTGGGGACAACATTGATAATTCTTCTATACTTCTAATGAAATATAAGAGAAATGAATAAGAGGGAAAATGGTAAAAAAATATAAAATCCTCAGTATTAAGGTTAGTATTGCATAAACATGGCAACAAGAGAGTTTTATTAAAAATATTAAGGTTAGTATTGTCATTTTAAATGGACAAGGGAGGTACATGTAATTTTTGAAACCTTAGAGGAGCCAAGTGAAATTATTAGAAACCTCAGGGGAGGTTTCTAAAATTATCCCTTAATTAAATACTAATGCATACTTCAAGGTTTATCATCATTGTAAAAATCTAGTTACTATTTCAATAGAAAATCTATTCATGTTTTGGAATTTGCTACAGTGTTTTGACGAGTATTCTTACATTATAGTAAAAGCATGTGTATTAGTTCTAAATAGTTTGTATGATATTTGAACACTTAGAATAAATTAATTATCTAAAAGTGATATTAATGAATACATAAGAATACCATTAATATTTTTTCTTAAATTATACATAGTTGCACAACTTCACAATTGACAGGTGCCGAACCTGTGCAATAATAATAAATAAATCCTAACTACCACCTGCAACAGCTAGTAATCAATTCGAGTACTGGAGCAGGGACTCTAGGTGTGCAATGGGTTACTTGATTCACCCTGTTCCCGAAGAGTTTGCTTAATCCGATATACCTGAATCAATTATTTAACTGAGTTCTCTAACTAGTAGATAGTGGTAAGCAGGGTCGTCTCCTCAGGGACTGGAGAGATATTTGTTTCTTTTCAAATCAAGATTAATGGGGGGTTTTGGTATCAAATGCCAACTAAACAAATTAACTGCAGAAAATAATTAGTTAAAAGAAATAAATGAGAGAAACTCTAGCCAAGGGTATACTTCAGAAATGGTTCATGCACTGATCATTGATTCAAAGGTAATTCCAACATTTACTAATAGATTGGTTCTAGTTGTCTCGCACGCGCTAAACAACCAACCCTTCCTTAATTTATCGATAGCCAAGGTACGACCGTTAGCTATTTCTCTAACCCAAAAACAACCCTAGGTACGACCGTAGGATTCAATTTCCAGATTGCATTAATAATTAGAAAGGCCCAATCCTAACCAATAAACACGCTACGAGGGTTTATTTAAGCTAGATCATATATTCCCCTGACATAAACCCAATTATACCAGTTGCTACTGGGATAGAGGTAACGAACAATTACGGATTCAATTACCTCTATTTAGCAAAATAGCCTATATGAATAATTAATTATTGCGCACTAATCAATCATACACAAGAGCTATAACAGTTAAAAGCAAAGAACATATAAATACCAATAAACGGAGGAAATAATTAAAAGCGGTTTAGATCTCACAGCATTAATTGAACCAATTCATCAGCTGTCCCTTGACTAGAATTAGAGAATTAGCCCTCCATTAATGGAGGACAAACCGCGCGTGGAAAACTGAGAAAGGTTTGCACTTCGATTATCCCGCTTCGGTCCACCACAGGAGGAGAAAGCTCAAATTTGTATTGCTCTCGATTGTTAAGTGGAAACATACGAGAGATTGCTTTTGTTCTCCAATTCGATTCGCACAAGGTAGGACAGCCCAAGAGCAAAGTCAACAATGGCGGCTCCTTTAAGCTTTCTTCCTTTTTCCAATTGAAGTCAAGATACACGAGAGTGAAAGTTTCTCAATTGCTTGATTTCTCAAGTTGTCAAGTCAAAACATGAAGAATTCGTTTCTCACAAGTCAACAATGATGGCTTCTGTCCGTTGCCTTTTTCCCCTCCAGGCTGCGGCTCTCTCCTCTCATTCAAAAGCCAAAAACGAAGACCCCTCTCTAACCTAAGCCGCGCCAGAGATAAATTACAAATTGTTACTTCTCAAAATTGCAGCAAGACTCCCTAGAAATATATATTAAAATAAAATCTATTACAATTAGGTTTTTTTCCGCTTCTCAAACGGGCCCCACGTCCGACGAATCTCCTAAAAGTTAAATTTAAGCACTTTTCGGCACCCATTCCTGCAATTAGCACCCAAAACAGAATATTAGTAAAATCCACCCAATTAACGAAAATATTCAGTCAATTAATTATGCAATAACGCCCAAAATACCCACTAAAATGCAACCTATCAATCTCCCCCACACCTGAACTATGCTTGCCCTCAAGCATAATTAACTCAGAAGTAAAATCAAGATGCTAAGCAAATCACAGCAGTTCACACCAAGAATGGCATTCCAAGTTCCCCAATAACCTTATCGAAATCAGAATATACTAAATCAGCAACGCTCGCAGTTCAACGTGCACTCATTCACTCCAAAGTGTATATGAAATGTATATAAGATGGCTCTCAAATCAACACAATAGAATGGCACTACCATAAGCTTGCTCTTATATCATATCTCTACCACTTACTTATGAATTTAAATGCAGCAATCAAGGGACTTCAAAAGGTTGTAATGGGGCTAGGGTGAGAAGGTAGGATAAAAAGGAGTAGAAAGGGTGCAAAAGTATAAAGAAAGTGCTCAGAAATTCATTACACAGATTCTTGTACATTTGAAGCTTCAAGGCATCTCAACCATCTTATAAGTGGAGTACATTGGCATTTGCCACGGCTTTCGACTTTTCTCCTTTTTCATTCATCTACTTCCCCTCTCGTTTTCTTTCCCCCCTTTTTTTTTTTCTTTTGCTTTTTTTTTCAATACTCCCAACCAGCACCCTAAAGGTCAACTTGACTTGCTGGTTTCCTGCACTTTGTCTTCTTTTCACATCCCTTCTTTTTTCTTTTGTTTTTTTTTTGTTTTTTTTTTTCGGTGCATAAATGGGTGTAATGCCCTTCGAATAATACTCCAAAAGTCTGTATAATGAAATCAAAGCACTTCTTCACACGAGGTACAAAAAGAAAGTCTAAAGAGATGTTTTACGGCTAGGAACTAGGGTCTCAAGCGAAGAGTAGGAGTTAAGGCTCAACTTGGCTCCCTAATGGTAGTAAATAATCCAAGGGTCGGTTTTAAGAAAGTCCAAAATGGCTCATTCCTAGGTGCCCTATCATTTTAATGCATTAAACTCATGTAAATGTGGTCTTGACATGCATAACCGAGCAAGTTCTAGAATGACAAACCATGTGCACTAACCACTCAATCAAACGAAAAATTAGGCCCAAAAATCGCACAAGTGGTCAAATTTATGTCAAGTTCAGCATATTAATCAATCAATTCAGTATCAAGGAAAGTGGAACACCCCATGGCATGAACTTACTATGTACGCTTATATCCCAATTCGCATTCATCATCGTTCAAAGAAAAGACAACTACTAAGGCAAGGAAAAACTCAATCAGACAACGAAAAGCACAACCAAAGCATAGTTAACCCTCCCCCACACCTAAACCTTACATTGCCCTCAATGTAAGCAAAGTAAGACCAAATTAGAGGTATTGGGGCAACGACACTTCCCTGACAACGGAGGAGGGCAGAAATTCAAATCATGGCTGCGGAGGGAAAGGCGGGCGGAAGCCCACGTGATGGAGATACTGCGCTATATTCTGGGCCATCCCGCCCATTTGACGCTCCATCCGATCCATACGAGTGTCCATGTGCTCTGGCCCTTATTTTTTTGGTTTAGTCATTGGAAATCAGAGGGCAAGGTGGAGGCAAGGAAATGGGATTCCAAAGAGGTCAACAAACAGCCAACAAAGCAAATGACAACTAAATACAGCTTCCAATCACAGACAAGTGCAGAAACGGCCGATGAACACATCCCCAAGAATTAGTTAAACCTGTCAGCAGCAAAATTTTCCCAAAATACCACAAATTCAACCCAAAAACTATTTAATTAGACAAACACAGCAAAATTCCCCCAAAAACGAATTAAACAGACAACTAGAGTAAGAGCTTTCCCCAAATATCACTGGGTGGGCACAACGTTAACCAAATAATCAACAATCAATCCACAGATATGCCACAGCACCCAAACAAGCACCAATTTTCTGTCCTCAGCTAGCAAATCAAAAATCTGGCCTCAGCTAAGAAATTAAAATCTGGCATTAGC